AATGTCTATCCATTTCTTGCTGTTATAGAAAAGTAGCACATTCTCCTCAGTTATTTTAAGACCCTGAGTGTTGGTCCGGCCGGGGCTTGAACCCTCGACCTCCCGCACAACAGTCCAGCGCTCTATCCATTGAGCTAACCGGGATACTTCCCAGTCCCCAAACTGCTATACCAGAGAAAAAAAAACAAAACAAAACAAAACAAACAAACAAAAAAACACGACTTTTAAAACTTGTGGGGAACCTTGTTCCTACCTGTGGATACTGGTTCATGCGGATGGTGAGATTTTCAAACGCCCACTTCATATTGGAATGCACAGCCAGTTGGTGAGTAAAGGAACGGGAGTGCTCACAACACAACCGAAGTAGCCCATAATATGCCGGAAGTACATTCCTGTTAAAGTTTACCACTTCCGGTTCATCGCTGGACCTGAAAACATATGAAGCAAAAATTATCACATGGGTTAATAATGGCTGTTACTCATCATTCTAGAAAATCTAGAATATGAGTGGCGTCAAACCCACAATCACAGCAAACACGTTCAGGGAAGAAACAAACAATAAAAGCTGGAAAGAGTGTTTCAAAAAACAAGCAAACAAAAAAAAAAACCTGAATGAGGCGCGCGAAAAAAAAAGTATCAAAGTTAGGGTTGGCTCTAGTCTTGCATCTGACTGAGTGAAGGAGAAGTTTAGGTAAATCCCACTACAGCAATAGAGCACATGTTTTTGGGCTCTTTAACGTGGTAAAGCCACGCGGGATGTTGATAGAACACGTGGAAAGCTTATAAATCAAGAGCCGAAGGCTGAGAGAGTCACTTACAGAATGTAGTTCAGCGGTATGTTCGCAGCCACGCTGCTGTTTTCCGTAATAAAGTCGATGTTTTCTTCACAACTGATGCAAGCGTGAAACCAAAAGATCAACAAGGCCTAAAAAGAGACAACAATTCAGTGCATGAGAAACTTGCACTCCCTGTTGTTGTTCTTTCAAATGTTTAGTAGCTATCTCATTAGCAGTGGAGCTAGAGCAGAAATGTTGTTATTAATATTATAATTATCATGATTATTATTATTCAAAAATATTCACTGAGCCTGGAGCGAATAATGTTTTAATTTTCAACGACCGAGGTCAAGATATACTACCTTTTCCCCAATTACCTGTTTGTTAGGATGTACCGCTATATTTGGCTCTGACATCAACGGGTGAAACAGCCGCCACAACTCTGTACAGAATGGTGTGAACTACAAATGAGAGGAAGCAAAATTTCATTAAGGTACTTTGCCAAAAGGCCTCTTCGTTTTGGACGTGTGATGTCATGACACATTCCAAAGAGTATCGCAACAAGGAAACATTTTTCATACCATTTCTTTCTCGGTGTTTGATACAAGGCAGTAGTTCAACACGGCAAAATAGCTGACAAGTTTTGTGGTGCCATGGATGTTTCGATCTACTCAGCAAAACAGGAGGAAAAGAGAAACACGGGTTATACAATTCACGGTTGCCTAGGAGTACGAAAACGTGACGGGATCATATTTGGCTTAAAAAAACGACAAGGACAAGGGCAAGGACAAGGACAACAACCGATAACAATAACAAAAACAACAACATCGATGACGAAGACGACAACAACAACAACGACGACGACAGCGACGACGAGTACGCCAACAACAAGAATCTGCTTAAATTTGGCGTTCTACGTACCACAGTATTTCCTGGCTCTTGGAAGAAGATTAAGCAACATTTTGTAAATCTGTTTAAAGTCAAAGAAGATTACAAAGATCACACAGGTGGAAGGTTAAGACAAAGCAAAACATCTACAGTCGAGTTAATAATAATAGGAATGACGACGACGATGATGATGATGATGATGATAACAATAATAATAATAATAATAATAATAATAGTAATAATAATAATGTAGTTCGAATGAATTGTTGTATATCCCAAGAAGTAAAGGAGGGCGGGGATTGCGCTCTGTTGCAATGGAGTACAAGGCCACAAAAATCAAGGGCGCAGTCAGACCCCATGGTAATGAAGATCGTGCACTGGGAATGGTACGGGAGTTTGAAGAGCAAGCGGCAAGGATGGGGCGTAGGTCCATTTTAAAAGAAGCGGCTAAGTGCGCGGAGAAGTTGGGGCTGGAGTTGGATTTGGAACACGCGCAAGGGATCAAGAAAGATGTGGGGAGGTGCCAAATTGAGAAGTTAGAGGATAAGATCAGAAACCAACGATGGCAATGGCCTCTAGTGACTAGCAGGCTGGAGGATGAGAGTTTAAGTGCCGATGGGTGTTTCTGGTGGCTCACAGAGTGGAAGAACTGCCCATTACACACAATTGCTGGACTCGTCGAGCTATACGAGCAGCTATTGCCAACGCGAGTATACACGAGTCAGAAGAACCACACAAGAGGGGAAGGCGAGGTGAGGTGCAGATTATGCGGCAAGGCTCCAGAGAGCGTGCCTCATACCTTGTCAGGATGCAGTGCGCTGGCCCAAAGCATGTATCTCTCTGGACACGACGCAGCACTGAAGGTACTGTTTTACGAACTGTTGTGTGATGAGGGATTTATAGACGAGATACCACCCTGGTACTCACCCGACAAGCCGAAGCCCGTGTATGAGTCAGAGAATGTTAAAGCTTATTGGGATGTCCCTATATATGCTGATCAACAAGAGGTCAGATGCAATAGGGTGGATGCACGCATTGTAAATCATATGTGCAAGAGAGTTGTGACGCTGGAAATGAGCTGCCCGTGGGTTAACAATCGGACAAGAAAGGATGAAGAGAAGACACTGAAGTACGGACCCCTTCGCTGGGAACTAAGGCAGCAGTTCCCAGGCTACGAGGTGAAGCAATATAACATCATTATGGATGCCCTCGGGGGGTGGTCACGGGAGCTGGATGTCATGATGCGCGAGCTGGTGGGAGGCAGAAGCACAGACGTACTGCGAAAGATGCAGAGGGCAGTGCTCTCGGGCACGCTGAATATTGCCCGGACTTTCAAGGTGGCAGTTTGAGTTCCTGTTAGAAGGAGGACCGTAGACACAACGGAAAATCTTTTTAGGATTAGTTAATGTACATTTATTTTTTACTCCATGGCTCACAGGTTACGTTTTTCGCCCTGTGCTGCCTGATTAGAATGTAGCATTCAGTTTATTTCTCTGCGATAACAAATAAAAAACATGCCCTACCTCGTGAAGTATTGAGAGGGCGTCTTTACTCAACTGAAACAAAAAAAGAAATTGCATCAGAGAATGTCCCACTCATGCTTTGTATCAAACCTTTATGCGTCAGGCCATTTAGTAATGTCTTCAAACCTGACATTCTCACTAATTTTAGTACCATATACATCATTATCTCGTGGGAAATTGGATGAGTTATGAACTGCAAGGATTAACTTTTTATACACTTTAGCCTTTCCGATGAAAGTTCATCTAAGAAACTGGAATGGTCAAGGGAGAAAATCATGCAACGCCACGCTTATATATATTTTTTGTTTGCCTTAGTACTGAACCAGTTCCTTCCGTTAACTGGAGGAAGGTGACTTTTTATCACTGTTTAAAACTGTCATATAAATATTGTAAACTATATTTACCACCATTTCCTTATGCGGTGCAGCAAAGCTTCTTGACCTGAAAAAAGGAACAGAAGAAAATGAACCGTCACAGATTCTTCCCAAGAAAACTACAGCAGTCTGCGGGACATCTCTTCAATAGTGAGTTAAAGCAACAGTAAGCGACAAAAATGAACTCTGATTTTGATAACCTATGCTCTAAGTTCTAGGGTCAACCGCTTACAGAAGTTGTGAAAATTTCAGTCATCAAAGTATTTTCTATCATTTTACTTTGAAAACCATCGAAAAAGTAGGTTAACAGTCTGTTACAAAAGCCACTTGAAGTTTTCGCCTTATACAGGTGTCGGGTCGCATAAGGACTCAATCCACGTCGTTTCAGAGAGATGAACATTGGATCAACGTTAATTCGTTCTATAGTGAATGTGTAGCCGGCGGGCAGGCTCTCATTAGCGATAAGGCACGACCAGCGAAGCCCGCGAGGGGTCTACGGGGGGTTTACGAGGGGTCCACGGGGGGTTTACGAGGGGTCGTGCCGAACCATCCCAGACATCTCGCGCATTTGCATCGCACTGGCCTCGCCGCTGGTATCCCAGCGCCAATGAAAACTCTATGATCGAGGAGAGACAATCGTGATTTTGGCTGGTGTTCAGTTGTAGTGGCCAATTGATATGGGATCCGTGAATCGTTGAGTGGATACATACATACATACATACATACATACTTTATTGGCTCGTCCCCAAGGGGCTTTTCAGAGTCAAATCTACATTACACGAATAAAACCTAAGTACATAAAAGGATAAAAGATAAAAATTAACTAAAGCAG